AAGACAAGAACCATGATTTGTATACCCGCTTGCTGGTTCCTGCCATAAAAGTCAGAGGGAGAGAGAATAATAAAACAACAAGTGCCAGGTGCAACCGTTACCTTGGCGAGAGGAGCCAGCAAGGTCAAACGGCTGTGAGACCCAGGAAGAGGCACGAAGAATTCAAGCGGGAAAAGTAGAATAGAGAGGGTTTAAAAGGAGAGCTCTGGCCGGGGAGGGTCAGTCTCACCAGTTTCTATGAATGCTGTATGCTGCTTCTCAATAAAGAAATCTTTGCTGGAAACAAATAGACTCCAGAGGATTTACTGGTCTTGGGAATTGAGCGTGCAGACTCTGACAGTTCCACAGTCAGCACATGGCTGTGTCTTTGATGCTATAATTGAGCTTCTCCACTTCCTTTTAGCAATAATATAGTCAATTTGATTATTGTGTACTCCATCTAGTGATGTCTATGTATACAGGCATCATTTTGGTTGTTTGAAGACATGCTATGGTTGTTTGAAGACAAGCTATCAAGAAATCATTGGAGTGGCAGAAATTGATGTCAATCTCCTGCTTCATTTTAGTTTCCTAAGCCATACAATCCAACTACATTTTCCTGTTTCCAACTTTGGCATTCCAGTTTCCAAATCACAAGCAGCACCTCAGGCCTGCATATTCTGTTGATTTCAAGTTGAACTTAAAATAAAATATTATTAGATGAGAGATTATGAGTTTTATGGTTATTTTATTTTGAGTTCTTTGTTCTTGTGAATTCAGCCTAGATCAGAACATAAAACTTAAAGAACATACTTGCAGCAGCTTCAGATAAGGAATTCAAAAAAGAATTACTGGATTAGTGGAATTACAGTGATCACAATTATTATTTGTAATTACATGCACTCAAGTCCACTTACTTAAATTGGGGTGGTTGGATTAGTAGGCAACAGATTGAAGCAAAAGCTGGTTGTACATTTGTGCTTTACATCCCACTAAAAGAAATTTCTGAATGAAATATAGGACAGTTTTCACAACCCAAATGTTAGCAATTCATTGCCAGTGCAAATTCCAATCTTGTCATGTGTAAACATTAACTCATATAAAGGTCAGAGTAGGCTTTTGATATTTTATCATGAGGGGCATGATACCTGGTCAGCTCAGCATTTAAATCTTCCTATTCTAATATTCAATTTCAGTGTTACACTGCTGAAGTAGAAATGCTAACAAATCTTTAACAGAGTCCTAAAAATTGTATCTTTTCCCATTTTGTTTCTCTGTCAGTGATGGGGACACTCTCTGGTTATCTCTATCACATGCATGCTCACAAACTTGAGCACATGTCCTTATATATCCAAAGTTAGTGCCATCCATACCATAATGGCTTGAAATAACTCTCAAGATTTGCAGAATTCCTCCCCCCCACCGCCATCTTATTCATCTTCCTGATACAATCAGCTTTGGGATAATAGGAGGTATAAAAATTTGGAAAATCAGTGTATATAAATTATTTCTTTCCCACCACTCTTTCTGTATAAATGCTATAGGAGTCTGTCATGAGTTACAGAACATAAACAAGCATAAAATATCCCCACAATTTAGGACACCAAATAGGAGTAAGAATTCTCCCATTTTGTGTTAATTAAAAGCATACTTTACTAAGCCACAAGAAAAACATTAGTTTGTTCCTTTTTTTTTAATAGATTGGTTTTGTTTGCAAGAACAGAAGCTGGTTTTTTATAGTACAAACATTTGTACAGTTTAACCAAGGAGAGGCTATATAAGTCTTTGGCCTGTATCTAGATGTGGTGGGCTGGGTGGAGACCAATAAATGGAGTCTGAATCTGGTCTAGAAGTCCTATAAATGGGTATTTGTTGTATCTAGGATCTTGCCTGAAATAGTGTTAGGATATTCTCATGGGAAGAAAAGCAAATCGCTTATCTCCAAACATTGTTTTGACTGCAGAGATCATGCCACCTGCATTTGGTTTCTTAGTTCGCACTTATACTGCTATTTACTGCCACCTATTGGCATCTGTATGCTAGTTACCTAAGGGGAGGTGCATAGTGCCAATAAATTGTGGGTGATTGTATGTCTCACTGCTTAGTAGGATTTTAGTCATCATGTAATCAGTTTTATAGGTTATGTAGTAGTAACTAATAACTAAGTAGTGTGCCTCTTCTTTGAGAGTTTTTGTTGGCTAGAGACTTTGTTAAACTTGTGTATTGGATAAGTCTTGGATGCCACATAAATGAGAAGAAGTGATTTTTTCTATGTTTTGCATGGAACTTGTGTTTTATGTAGTTTTATTTTTCTCAATAAACAACCAGAG